GCCCTCATGGTGATGAAGCTGCGCGAGTACGGCATCGCCGACCCCGATGAGATCTACTGGTTCAAAAGGTACCTGGAACTGCATCTGCCTGTCCTCAGGGTGGGCTGGGGCACGGGGGCGCTGAGCTGGTACTCGGCCAGGGCTTGGGGATGCTTTCCAGCAGGGAAACCCCTCACAGGGGCTGACCTACGGCCTGACTGGGGCTCAGAGCCCCCCTTTCCAGCAGAAAAAAGGGCCCTATTGGGAGGCATGGGGTTGATCTGCCGCACAGCCAGGGCAGAGAAACACTTGCCATCAGGAAAAACCCATAGGAAGGCACGTGGTTGACCTGAAATCCAGCTGGGACTGTCTGGGCTACAGGTCAAGTGGAAGGCAGGGTAGTTTTGCATCTTATAGACTAACCAAAGTAGATATATAAAGCCCAAGTTTTCATGAGCTTCAGTTCCCTTCATCAGATGCAGGTCAAGTGTCAAAGCAAGCTGACCGCCTGCCCCGAAATCCACTGAAATCTTGTCTTCAGTGAACTTTGGTTCAGTTCCTCATCTTGGGTAAAACCTGTTGTATGTCCTTGTGCTGATTATAGAGCTGTCAACAGGAACAATCCTCTTCAGAGCCAAGCCTTGTAAGAAGGCTGAAAACAATGCGGCTTATAGGCACTGCAGTTCCTTGTGAAGAAGTAAAGGTCCCGCACTTAAACAGGTTGATGACTAATGGGGTGATGCAGGGACTTTTAACACATCAGAGATATGGCAGGACCAGGCCTGCCAAGGAAACTATGAGCCTCCTTTCGTATGGGGGGGCTAATAGTGACGTGTTACTGGTTACTTGGGACAAGTACTAATGAAAACAGGGACAGGAGTGGAAGGGGTAACGCAAGGACTCTGGCCTTAATGTAGTTCTGTGAAGTTGCTTACTTCAGATTGCACTTAGGCCTGTTAGAGTTCCCCTGTCCTCGTAACTGAGAGAGGGACTGTGACTAGTGGAATAGCTTTGGGATTGTCTGTTCTTGTATTTCTCCCTTGTTAAATCTGCCTAATGGTGAGCAAACAGCACCTTTCACAATCAAGTTGGACAGCTTCCAGCTCGTCATAAGTGCAGTCCCTAATGGAACTAAGCACCTTTGACCCATTTTCTCAATAAAGTTCCTTTACACAAAATGTTTGAGGCAGATTTCCATTAACTTCTTAACATAATGACTCTGCAGCTCTAGAAATCCACTGGCTTCAGAGGGGGCTGGACCAGAGATTTGGGTCAAATTCATTAACTACAGGCATGCGTAGATGAAACGGGGGGCCCTAAATTGAAGTGTAGGGCTGATTAAACCCCTGTGTCGTGCATACACCCCGCTGACTTGCCTGCCTTTCCAGCAGGGAAGGGAGGGTGAGCTGCCAGGGGGCTGCAGGGGGGGCTGGTGCTTCCCGCTGTGGCCCCACCCCCCAGGTGGCACCTGCCTGCAGGCACCTGGCGGGGGCGGGGTGGCACTGCTACCACAGAAGGAAGCACCAAGCCCTGCGCAGCTCAGGCAGGCTGGCAGGCGTGGGTGCAGAGGAAAAAAAAAGATCAGAGGCTCTCTGCTTTTCTTGGGTTTCTTGCTTTCCAGAGCTGCTGCCAGGTGCCTGCAGGGCTTCCTGCAGAGCCCCTGAGCTGCATGGAGTCTGGTGCTTCGCTCTGTGGCTATAGGGGGAGGGCACAAAAAAAACTCCTTGACATGTAGGGCAGCAAACTAAAACTCCTTGGAGGAGTTTTAGTTTGCTGTGCCCCAAGTCATTTAAGACGCATTATGCTGCCAGATTTCCTACAGTGGCTGGAATTAATGCACAATATGCTGCCAAGGCTTGCAAACACTGACACTGTTAAGCGGTGCAAAAGCATTTAGCCCACTTTAAAGTGTGGTTTACACACACCTCTCGTTTCATCTACACATGGCCTACACAGCAGTAGTAGTTCCCAGGAGAAATTGGTGGACTCTAAATCTTTTTTAACATCAGTAGAAGTTCCAAGGAGAAATGCTTCAATTTAGATGCCACTTGGAAAATTACCTGGAATGTAGATCTGGCTTACAATTACGTTGAACACAAATACAACCCTTGGCAAACTATCAGGCATTGTGCAGCCAATACCATTCACTTGCTTGTCCTAAAATGAAAATGTTTTTATAGTAGTAGTCCAGTTTCAGCTATCCTAATGGAGAAATGGCAGCTAGTAGCTCTTGTGGCTTAGCTAACAAGTCTGCAGGATGTAAATACAATCAGCTTTGTTAACGGATATTGGATAAATCCACTAAAATACATAATATGAGCCTAGTTTTTTGCTTCTGGCTTAGATTCTAATGCATATTGTCTACTTGCATTTTGGTTAAGTACGTAACTTGTGTAACATCTTTTAGACACTCTTTACTGCCTATTGCACTTGTACTTAGTACTCCATTTTTGTAACTCATTAGCAGCTGTCAACTCCAAAACTATGGCCATAGTGCTAGCACTGCTATACAGCACTGACACAGTAGCTGCTAAGAAAGTGTGAACAGCTGTTTGATTAATTAGTCTGTTCCCTTGTGAATGGCTAGTTAGTAATGAGGTACAACCACTTAGTATACCCTGTGTCTAGTCAAGTTCAGGGAAATGCATAGCCTTTATTCTGTACTAAAACTGCGCTTACCTGGAATACCTTGTACACAGGTAACCGTTATTGACCCTTTTTTATGAAAAAGGAAGGATTGTTTTCAATAACGTGTTAAACATAAGACACAGTTACTCTTTTACATACAAACTTGTATATATAAGTCAATCTGAGATCTGGTAGCCCATTAACTTAAATCAGGGGTAGGCAACCTTTTCCAGCTGTGGGCTAGAATAACCCACTCAGGGTCAGGGGAGGGCAGGTGCTAGAATTTGGCTGCTTGTTCTGTTCATCCCTGTGTCAGTATCGGGGAAAGTACCTATAGTGAAGGCCACACTTCTGTGGGCCAGATCCCAGCTTAGGGGCCATAGGTTGTTGCACCCTGGTTTAAATGAACATTTACACATCTGAATGATGTTCCAATATTTTATATATGGAACATCATTCAGAGGTGTAAATTTACATAATATTTGTACATATATTTCTGTCTTTTTCTTCTTCATAAGAT